TCAGCCGTGTGCAAGGCAAATGCCCTACCCTCTGTGCTCATCACTCCAGCCCCTAAAAAAAGGAGAAGTTTAAAAATTTCAGACGAGAAAGGGAGCAGTCACTCAGGCTGGCTCTCCCCACGTGGTTGGGGGATGGCTTGGGCACATGCACCTACGTGACACCAGGGATCTACCACAGGGACCCAGCATCGGAGCCCCGTGGTGGGCCATGTGGGGTCACTGCTCCATGCCCTCTGTGAGGCCCCCCAAGACAGGGAGCAGCCACAGCAACTCCAGTTCTTTGGGAGGTGTGTGGGGGGAGAGGTGAGGTGTGGATGGGTAGCCTCGGCACTCCCCACCCACAGGCTGGTCAGCCCAGCAGGGCACACCGTGCCCCGGGACAGCACAGGGGACCGGGAACTACAGTTCACGACACATAAAGTCACAAACACTCAAAATTTCACAGCAGCTAAATTGCTCTTCCATAGCAGCTTGTGAGGACAGCCGTAGCCTTCCAACAACCACAGCTTAGGACATACGAGGAGAGAGGAGAGGGGTTGTTGAGTGACCTTTCTTTCTAACATGGGCAGGGAAGGCCTGGGGTGGCCCTGCAGGGCCCGCGTGGACGGGTGAGGAGCGGGGGAGGTGGCAGGTGGGCAGGAGTTTACGGAAAGCTGCAGTTTTGAAATTTGATCTTGTGGTCGAGTATCTTTGGAGATCTCGGGTTATTCTGTGGGTGGTTTGACCACGAGAAGGTAAACTCAATGAGCAGTTGGGAACTGCCAGGGGGATGGGTAGCTCTACTCAGCTGGATTGATGGTTGGTCTCCCAGAGGGCCGGACTGCTTGGGGTAACTTACTCTGCTTCGAGAGAGAATCTGCAACACGGCAGCTGTGCTGGACATTGATGGGCAGGAGCCGAGTGTTGCAACAGCTCCACACCCGTTCCCAGACACGAGTCTCCATGTATGCCCTGGAGAACTGCACCACACGCAGCGTGCAGGCAACAGGCTTCAGGAAACACAGTGACGAGACAATGAAACCTCTTGGATCTAAGAAGGGCTATTCTCTGAGTGTTCAATGACATTTTCACTCAGGGGGACTTCTACATGTTGCCATGAGAGTGTTGACTAAAACTGCCATCGTGGCCACACCTGCTGGCCACTTGTTAATATCTGCTCACAACGGAGGGAGGGAGGATTTTTTTTCTTTTTAGAAATAGAACTCTGCAAGTATGGCCATTTTGACTGAGTCCATTATATTTTGTCAGTTGGGAAGCACGTGAGAGGGCAAACCCTGTGTTGACCAGTCAAGAGTTCTTACCACACCCTTATTTGCTACACTCAAATCTGGAAAGCTTTTTTTTTTTTTGCTTTTTGGGTCACACCGGATGATGCTCAGGGGTTATTCCTGGCTCTGCACTCAGCAGTTACTCCTGGCGGTGCTTGGGGGACCATATGGGATGCCGGGGATCAACTCCCTACCCACTGTACTATCGCTCCGGCCCCCTGGAAAGTGTTTTACCTAAAATTATGATGACAAGATTCTATATTCTTAGAATTGTTCAAATTGTTAACGCCGGCTGTATTGTAGCGGGAAGAAGGTGTTCTAGAGGGAAAATGGATCTGATTAAAGAAAACATTTGATGAAGCAGTCACCAATCAGCAAAATCTATTTTTAAAAGTATTTATTTAGTTAACAACCAGTCCCAATGAAAAGAGATGAAAAATAATAGAACTAAGAAAACAACCAATCGCCTGTAACTCTATATATATGAGGAAGAAAGGAAGGCTTACAATTTTCTAATGTCTGTTTAAAGCAAAACCTGTGCTTACGTTCTCATGTGACAACCAGTTCTTTTAATGATGCCCCAAAGGGATACACTTGACCTCTGAGTAGAAGAAAAAGTCCATGAGTGAAAGATTTTTTTTGTCTTGTTCTGGAACAGTGAGACTAGCCTAAGCCACGTGGCCCTGACACAGTTGACTGCCACCAGCAGTGGCCGCGGATAGAGGAGGCTCTGGGCTGAGCTTTGCAGGAGCCGTGGCCTCGGGTCACTTTCCCGTGCCCAGAAGGAGCAGTGGGCACAGACGTTCCCTTGGTCCCCAGATAGAAGGAAGGACGGCCGGGACTCTCGCCTGCGTCCCACTCTCCTCCCTACACCCGCAGCCCAGGAAGCTTGCGGGAATGATGCAGCCGGGGCAAAGCCAGACTCCCAGCAAAGTCCCGATTGTCGACTAACATCTGGACGGATCCCAGCTGCCTCGCATTTCCATGCTCCCTTGTTTGAGACAGTCTAGGTCTCCTTGGCATCACTAGTTCCAACAGTTAAAATAATCAGTAAAAAGTTTAGGACAGCAGATATAGTAACCTAAGCTGAGTATACTTTTAGATACAGATCTATCGAGTTAGTTCAATGCTAGATGAATGAAATGTTCTTCAAAAGCACAAAATAACACTATATTAGAAATAATCCCAGAATCAAGTTTAAATCAATAGATTCAGTATGTTGACTATTAACTCTAATAGCAAAGCAATTATTAATAAATAAATCTCAATGCAGCAGTTAGTATTAATTTCCTTTCCTTTCTTTTTTTTCCTGATATAACATTTTCACTCTATCATTATGACGATCGCATTGCATTATTTACATGAAACAGGATAAAATCTCTCCCCCAAAAAGTCCTCACAGAGATATCCTCAAAGCAAATATAATATTGGTTCAAATCACCTCAATAGCAGAAAGACAGGTTTTGGTTTGCTTATGACATCATCGAGAATTAATTTTTTTTTAAGAGGACCACTTGATTTTGGCATGGTCTGCCACTGAAAACAATGTGCCTATGCTTTCATGAACTCAGAATAAATTTTTAGAAAAATTCAATAAACTCTGTAAGAAAGTAAGCATGTTCTAATTTTAGAGTTAAAATTTCAATGGTATGAGAGCAAGTTTAGAAAACATTTTTATTAGACAAATTATTTAGACAAATTATACACAGAAAGCTCTGCAACTCATAACTGAGACCTCCAAAAAGTGTTTGTATATATATTTTTTTATAATAGGCAATACATCAAAATAGGCCTATTTCAAATACTGTACATGGTTGACAGTTTGTGGATAGCTCAAACCACTGCACTAACTGGTGTGTCCCTATATAGCTTGTGGCCAAGTTCTTTTGTTTTGTTCTGTTCTGTTTCAAAATCAGAGTTGTGAATGAGCTCATGGGCGTCTCTCGGGGAAACGAGCTGTACATGCACTTAGGTTCTGGTTACCCTGGAAACAAAATGATTTTTGCATGATAAGAAATTTTTCTGCCTTACACAGTAGACAATATTTGAAGATTTAGTACAAAAACAGTGACAGTACAAGATGCTCCCCAGAACAGAATTAGCATCAAAATATACCTTAAGAATATACTTTTAAAATTTCTCCTAAAGCAAGTAACGTAGGCTGACTCCTCGGTCAGTCCTAGCCACAGGGTGAATGGGATTAAAATGTGGCTGTGATTAGTGTGTGGCTGCGTAAAAACCCAAGGTCAGTCCTTGGCCCGACTTACCAGGTCTTAATTAAGGATTACCGAGTTCCGCCCACGTTTCTAACAGGTAAGAAGGCGCTGCCGTGAAGGGCTGTGTGCCTGGAGGCACTGACTGCTCTCGTCCTGCGACACGCTTGGCCTTCGTGCAAGAAACTGGGAACTCCTCCCACGAGCTAAATCAAACAGGGTACCCAGGGCAGAGCCCGGGAAGGCTCTTCGAAATGTTTTCCCTTGAGGCTGATCCATGACGTAATTAAGGCCACATTAATATTTCTTAAGGGCCCCCACCTCTCCCAACCCCCGTCTTATTGATAGACTGACTGCTTCGGAAGAGAATTTATTAACCTTCACTGACCTAAGTCTAAGCTCTTATTGAACTCTATGTGCTGTCTCGGACAGGGTGCAACTAGAAGCATTTTCCGTGTAGAGAATTAAGTATGAGTAAAGTGATCAAGGTTAGCTTTCTACAGCTCTGAATAACAAATGCTGAGACCTATTCAAGTGAGTGACATCGAGGAACAGATTCTTCAATTGTCCAGGATGTTTTCATAACAAAAGTATAAAATACTCCGTTGGCAAACAAGGCGAGTCAGAGTGACATTAAAGCAACCTGCCTTTTCTAATTGAAAAGATCCCCAGCACTATACAATACCTTTTTTTGTGTGTTTTTTTAAAAACTAAAGCTTTATTCAACGAATTGCAATAGCAATGGCTGCCTCTTAATATATATATATACACATTATATAGGTGCATATATATGTATAGATATGAGATACTAATTTCTCGAACACAATAGAGGTTTCTGCCATATGATAACGTTTACTGTACATAAGAAAAAGACTTTTAATACTGTACAATCACATAAAGGTCGTGTGCACTGCTGCAGTGCAGGAGTGGTTTGAATTGTAGTCTCGACTGGTATATTAATGGCTTTTTTGGTAATCCTACAAAATTGCATTCTCATATTATGTGGCCTGAATAATCTTCAAATTATTTTATAAACAACGCAGGGGTTGCCTTTGGTCCAGAGTTAAAGGACACTCCACAGAAGCAGAGCACTGTATGGGTGCAGCAGAAGAATGTAAAAAAGACTTAAGTTATTGCAATCGTAGATTTTAAAAATAGAGACGTGTTACACAAGAGGCCTTGATGTCAAATTAATCCTGCGTCTACTCTTAGAATGCTCAGCGCACATTCCCTATACTTGAAGTACAGTGTCTGGAAGGGGACTCGTAGGATCCTAGTGTCCTCTATCCTGGGGGACAACTGAGTAATGAAGAGGCGGAGAGAAGGGACAGGGCGAGGGGGAAAGAAAGAGAGAAAAAGAGAGAGCGGAGGGGAGGTGGGGAGGAAAACCTAGAAACCGTTGCTAATTATCCTGATTTGGAAAAAAGTTACATCCACGTTCGTCCCACAACATTCCGATTGCTCCTTACAGAGGGAGTCCTACGAGAGGAACAGTGGCGAGACTCTGTTGGCTGTGAGCTCAGATGGAAGTGCCCCGATCTGGGTCATTGGCCAGATTGAGCCCCAGGGTGGGCGTTGGCTGATAAGGAATGGATGACATTGTTTTTATGGGGCTCCGGAAGAAGCCCCCGTTGGGGGCCCTGTGTCTAAACGGGCCAGTCCGGTGCTCAGGCACGTTGCCAAAAGCAAAGCCAGAGGCGGCCTTTGCCGAGAGTGTGCGGCTAAGAGTCTGAATCTGCTCTGGGATAAAGGTGGTGGTGGTGATGTGCGTGTTCCTGAAATCGCTGATCTGCTCCAGGGCTTGGCGTGTTGGCAAAGTGTCAATGTCCAGAGGGGTCAAGTCAATTGACGAGGTGGAAAACTGTTTATGGGGGCTGTCATCATCTGTGCACAAGCTATTTACTCGTCTATGGAGGTGCTCCAGGTCAATTTCCTTGTCATCCTGGAGATGAAGAAAAAGAAGATAAGGTTCTCATCAGTACTAGCTTCCATGGTTCAAAAAGAGTTCAGCAAACACGATAGGTCAGCAACTGAACTTTGGGGTCATTCCCTGCACAAAGTCTTATCGGGCACCGACTAGGAGCCGGCACTGTGCTAGCTTCTGGGTACCACTAAGGATTCAAGATAAGGTCATCGACAGCAATCTTTGTCTTGCCGTGGAATTTCCAAACGGGCACATGCCCCATGCAATGATAAAACGTGGGAGCGATGCTTGGGTGATGCCACTCTCAGGACAGGGCCAGACCAGGCAAAAACTGCCAATAAAAAGGATGGTTGTAGCAACTCCTGCCCCCACCTCTGCTTCAACACAGGCCTTCTCCCCTCTCAGGGGGTCCCATTCCAAGCCGGATCTGTTCCTTCCCACCCACTCAACTTCCCGTTTTTGGCGCCAGCGGTACATGGACTATTTATCCCACTCAAGTGTTAGTGGCGGTTACAGTGTTATTTCTCTTCAGGCAACGGAGACGTGAGGTGGTTCAGAGAGAGCAGCGTTGGACATAAGAGAACGGACTCCAGTGGAGGGAGCCCACGGGCTCTGTCTCGTCCATCGCGAGGCAACATTGTGAGGTCAGTTGACCTTTCAAGACCCAAGTCATGACATGCCAGCGACAGCTTTCACCTAAGACAGAGGTTTTGCTAAACGGACCTCACGCCCAAGAGACTTTGATCCACGCTAATGCAGTCCTTAAGAAGAGTCCAGTGAAGAAAAAGGATGCAAGACCTCAGCTATCCAGAGTTGTAACTGATTCATACTTCCCTCAGGATTTTCACTAAATATGAGCCAAAGAGCCCAATATTTTTGGAAAATAAAACTGGCGAGAAATCAAGTTGTCTCTTATAAATCTTCTTCATAGCCAAATTCAATAAATTAAGTTTAAAGGGACTTGGAAATACCTATTCATCATAAGAGGAGAAAATATTTGTATAATCTGGGTTAGCTGTCACGAATAAGATGGGGTATGTATTTTCTTTTCACTGGGCTATTAAAGTTCCTCAGTAAAAAATATTTTGATGCGCATAAATTTTTTTCCTTTCTCATTTGAAAATCCAATAAAAATATCCATTAATAGAGTATTATCACTGAGACTTTAGAGGAATGAGTGATATAATTTTATGGTTCCCACAGCAACTATAATGTAGTCATCCATCAACAGATATAATAATGCAAAAATTTAATATTAAATATATTCAAAATATAAGGAGCTTGGGGAGTCCTTAATTTCTACTTTTTGGAGACTATGACATATCAAATATAATGCTGCATTAATGTGGTCTTTTGCATGGACTCAGTGTCAGTCTTAAGAGATATCAGAAACTTATTCTGCAAAGAAAATACTGCAATAAAACCTGATTAATTTTTAGTCCCTATTCCACTAATTTAGAATGTCTGACCCTTCAGACATGCAGGAAATAAGATTTATCATTGGTAAGTTTTTCTTTATAAATGGAGACAATCAGTTTCGCATATAAGGAATCCTCAGATTACTTTAGGAAATAACCTTTTTAAAAGAATACATGAACTTGGAAAAGTTACTATTATGCAGATGAGAAAGATTTTAATTTGTGCATTAAAGCAGATACTGTTGGATTTTTCTCCAGGCATCTGTTAGTCAAGGTCTGATCACAAGAAGTTTAAAACTATTCACCAAATCAAATCCTGCAACAAATTAGAACCTGTTGTCTTTCATCCTAATTTGTGACGCTTTAGTGAATATGATTCGTTAATAAGATTTTCTGAAAATTTGTCCCTTGGGATCAAAATAAACCAATTAAGTAGTTTATTTGCACTTGAGATTTTTCTCTAGTTTAAAATCCATGAATTTGATTAAAAACAAGGTACATGCCACCTTAAAAAGAGATACAACGTGTAACTTGGTAATTATACTCTCAGGTCTCTACAAAAAAATTGTCCTGGCCCTGGAGTTAAGCAGACTCAAGAATAAGAGGAAAACAGCATTCGAGAAGATTCCACAATATGAATTTTTTTAAGGTTGGGCCAAAGGAGCTAAAGCTATGTATCACTCCTACTGATTTACACACAGGGAGCAATCTGGTGGTGCAGAGAAAATCCAGATTATTTTACTGTACCACTGCGTTTCCGATCATCAAGATACAAATAATTTACCTACACGTTAAGAAACAACAGGGAAAAATAAAGCATCTCTGTGAACTGGTCAAGGGACATACCATCTTTTCTTTTTTTTTTAAAAAAAGTGGAACTAAAGTCTATCCTAAGCTTTGGGGGAATTTCAAAGATTATGATGCACAAGACTCTGCCCTCCAGCACTGCAGCCTACTCTTCCTTTTGTTGGGATACCCTTCCATGAGCGTTGGCAATTTCCACAGTTCCCAAGCCCATTTTCCACCTCCCACCCTCTCCCCCACGTGAGCCCGTCACCCCCTTCTCCCCAGACTCCCTCCCGAGGTGACGCCTCATCAGACACCGCCCAGGGGACCCAGTACCTCTTTGGAGGGCGCACGGGAGCCCTTGCGCTTGTTCCACCAGGTCTCCAGCATGGCGATGAGGCAGGACAGGACCACACCTGCGGCCAGGATGCAGAAGACGCCCGCGAAGCTCTTGATGTCCAGGGCACCTCCCTTCTGTTTCGTGTCCACTGAAGAGTACAGGTCACACTGGCCGTTTTTGGGCCACCATTTGTGCTTGAGGATGTCCATGTCACCGTTCTGTTGAAGTTCCAGGATCCTTGGGGCAAAGGACATGGTCAGTGTTAGTGCAGACACCTTACACAGGACCTTGGCACCCTCCTCTTACACCTGGTGGCTGCGGAGGAAGGTGAGCGGTCTGTGTGGGGGCCACACCTGGTGGCTCTGGGCTCACTCCTGGTGGGACTCAAGAAACCGTACGGGATACTGGGAATTGGACCTGGGTCTGCCGTGTGCCAGGCCAGCACCCTGCCTTCTGTACTATTGCTCTGGCCCTAGGTTGATCATTTTTACCTGGAGTTAGGATCAGTTAAAATGACAGCTTGACCCAGGTCTTGGATTACAGGGGATTGACTATTTATTTATTTACTTATTTATTGTTAGATTTTTATTAGTGAAACACCATGAGGTACAGTTGTAGACTTACAAATTTTTGTGCTTGGGTTTCGATTATACAATGATCGAGTACCCATCCCTCCACCAGTGCCCATTTCCCACCACCACGGATCCCAGTATCCCTCCCACCCCCATCCCCCCATCCCACCCTGCCTCTGTGGCAGAGCATTCCCCTTTATTCTCTCTCTCCTTTTGGGTGCTATGGTTTGCAAAAGACGCAATCATGTTAGGTCTAAAGTCTACTCTCAGTACGCACCTCCCATCCTGGGAGGATCCTCCCAACACCCTTTATTTGGTGCTCCCTTCTCTATCTGAGCTGCCTTTTCCCTAGCGTGTGCGGCTGGCCTCCAAGCCATGGAGTGAACCTCCTGGTACTTATCTCTGCTATTCTTGGGTGTTAGTCTCCTATTTTGTTACTTTATGTTCCCCAGATGAATGCAATCTTTCTATGTCTATCCCTCTCTTTCTGACTCATTTCGCTTAGCATGATACTTTCCGTGTAGTATCACTTGTATGTAAATTTCATGACTTCCTCTTTTCTAACAGCTGCATAGTATTCCATTGTGTAGATATACCAAAGTTTCTTTAACTAGTCATCTGTTCTTGGGCATTCAGGTTTTTTTTCAGATTCTAGCTATTGTAAACATCCAACCTCATCACAAAATGGGGTGATGAAGTGAACAGAAACTTTCTTAAAGAAGAAATCTGAATGGCTAAAAGGCACATGAGAAAATGCTCTACATCAATAATCATCAGGGAGATGCAGATCAAAACAGCAATGAGATATCATTTCACAACTCAGAGACTGGCCCACATCCAAATGAACAAAAGCAACAGGTGCTGGTGCAGATGTGGCGAGAAACGGACCCTCCTTCACTGCTGGTGGGAATGCCGACTGGTTCAGCCCTTTTGGAAAACAGTATGGACGATTCTCAAAAAATTAGAAATTGAGTTCCCATTTGACCCAGCAATACCACTCCTGGGAATATATCCCAGAGAGACAAAAAAGTATAGTCGAAGTGATGTCTGCACTTGTTTGTTCATTGCAGTACTGTTTACAATAGCTAGAATCGGGGATTGACTGTTTAAAACGTTAGAAATAAGTAGGTAGATTTTATGAGACTCCATGTAGAAGTATTTACGCTCCATGATTTTGACTTGTTTTGACTCATTGTGTCCAACATAAATCTCTAAAAATGAGCTAAATTCTTTTGTTTCGTGGCCAGATGTAGTGGTGCTCGAGGCTTACATCTGACTGTGCACAGTGATCACTCCTGGTGGGGTTCCGGGGGCCCTAAGTGGGGCCAGGGTTGAAACAGGGTTGGCCACATACGGGGCAAACGCCTTAACGGCCACGCCATCTGCCGGCTCCACATGAGAACTGAAGGTGACAGCAACATCCAGCCTGGATTAGATAAGAGCGAGACCCACCTAAGGGCTTGAAGTAAGGGAAGGCCCCTGTCCCCACGTCCAGTGTGGGTGTCCCCACGGCCTCCCCCTACTGCCACCTGCTGGTACTCTGGGTCACCATCCCTACCAGCACACCCTCAAGAGGGACTGTCAAGTCTTAGGAACTTGATTCATCTGCTACCAAAGCTTGTTCCACAAAGGAGTTTCTTTGATTAACTGAACGGTTCTGAATATTGTTAGATCGAGTTCACCCTTTTTTTCCAGCCTCCATGCCAAATAAAGTCTTTTGCATTTCCAGAATTTCCAAAAATGTGTCCCTGGATACAACAGGATACGGTGTGTACTTTTAGAAATTTTCTAGAATGAAAAGGGTTCGTTCCGTGGCCACTAAATTGGAGAGAAAGTGTCTTGGCCAATTAAAAAGGCTCTAAGAGGACCCACAGACAAGAAAACTTAGGATTTTGCATTGCTATTAATTTAGCACTCTCCAATGAATCTGATTTTCCTTCTTATCGATCTTATTTTTCTTTCCAGTCCTCAGCATGTTTGTCTTGAGTTACTAACACACGTAAGTGATGCGGGGAACTAGGTGCTGGAGGAATGCACTGAAGAAATAGCGCCTTGGCCCAAGGGGCAGCCTACACTGTGTGACATATTACCTGTGTGTGCACCTGTGAAGCTGCTTATTTGACCTATTCCTGAATCTGCAAAGTCTTTAGCTATTCACCTATTTACTTCCTTTTGTTCTTGGGCCATAACCCGTGGAGCTCAGGGCTTACTCTTGGTTCTCTGCTCAGTGATCACTCCTGGCGGCCTCAGGGTACTGGGGACCAACCCCCATGCGCCCTACATGCTGCACACCAGTCTTACGTACCTATTTAGAGACACCAGCTAGCTAAACACCATTGACCACCTTAAAGGAAAAGTATAGTCACCGCTGGAAACATAATTATTTTTAAATATCATTTTATTGCTACGGACAGAAACCAGAGGGAATGACAACAGCCGTTGCTTTGTGAGAATGTGCTGGGTGCAGGTCCCCAGGCTCTCTTGGTCCTGCTTCTCCGGCTGTATTGGTCAGCATCTGCATGCCATCTGAAGGCCTCGGCCCTGTCTGTGACCATGTGTGGGCGCCTGAGTAATGCGATTCTTTCTCGAGTGTGTGCTCACTGTCTTCCCAACACAGCGCAGGGATGGCTATCGACTGGAGACACTCAACACTTGTGCTGCCAAACGGACCCTGTCATCACATTTTTTTCTATTTTTATCTCACTGGTGCCATTTTCTGACTGATTCATTCCCTCCCATTCATCCTCTGATTCACTAAATACTTCAGTGACTTCATGCCAGGCCCTTCTTGGGATACAAGATCGAGATTAGCAAACAACAGCTCACCCATCAGAAAGGCTCAGGCAACAGCACAGTTCTTTTTCTTTTTGTTTGACCTTTACTTTTTTATTTTTATTTTTTGCTTTTTGGGTCACACCCAGCAATGCACAGGGGTTACTCCTGGCTCCTGCACTCAGGAATCACTCCTGGCGGTGCTCGGGGGACCATATGGGATGCTGGGAATCCAATGAGGGTCAACTGTGTGCAAGGCAAACACCCTACCCGCTGTGCTATTGCGCCAGCCCCTACCTTTATTTTTTAACTGAGATGATATTGACATACATAACATGTTTCAGGTGTCCGTTATTAAAAATTTGCATTTCTGTACACCATTAAGCACTCCATTATCCTTTACCCTCTATCCTCTGCTTTGCCATTTGGCGCTTTTACCTAAATAATTTCCTTCCCCCAAGCTCCCAATTTCCCTTCTCTTCTGGTAATGACAAACTGATCTCATAGTCTAAAGGTCTGTTTTTGTCTTGTTCAGTTCACCCATTTTTCTCTACATGCCACAAGTGAGTAGAATTACAAGGTGTTTGTCTTCCTTCATTTGCCTTAGGTGACAACCTCAAGGTTCATCCATGTGTTGCATATAACAGGATTTCATTTATTTGTTTAAATAGCTGAATAGTATTCCATCATGCATTTATATCACATCAACTTTAGCCAATCATGAGTTGAAGGGTATTTAACTTGCTTATGGTTCTTGTCTATTGGAAACACAGCTGCTATGAAATGACAAGGAGGCATATATCTCTCCCTGTGTTAGTGTTTTTCTTGCAAATACTCTGACGTAGAAGAACTGGATCAGATAGGATTTCTGTTATTTTGAGAAACCACATACTGCTTCTCATTGTGGTTGCATGATTCATATTCCGGCCAATGTACAAGGTTTTGCTTTCCCTCCACATCCTCTCCAACACTTATTTTTTCCTTTGGGATGTGAAGTTCCCTTTTTATGGCTGTTATTCATGTTATGGTATACTTGAGTCCTTCCAGTTTTCCTTTGAGGACTTATTATAGACAACACTTTTTTGCTGTGATATCTGCTTTTACTCATGAAGTGTGCCCATCACTTCTACACCTGGAAATATTCTGGTTTTAAAGATGATCGTTGAGGTCTACTTTCTCTCTGTCACATATTCTAATTCTAATCAGAATACAGACCTTAAATCCAAACAATGACTACTATATTTGATTGAGTGAACTGGGTGATAGGGATTACTGAAAAAAAAAATAGGAAGGAACATTCTCACGATCACGATCATCCTGCTGTTCATCGATTGCCTCGAACAGGCACCAGTAACGTCTCTTTCATTCTACCCTGAGATTCTAAAAAGTGCCACATTCAAGGTTCTTTCAGGGTTAGGAGAATGAGATCCATCATTGTTACCGGTATTTGGCATATTGGGTATGCCACGGGGAGTTTGTCAGACTCTGCCGTGTAGGCAGGTTACATTTGGTAGCCTGCCAGGTTGTCCAAAGCAAGAATGAGATAATAGGATGTCGCTTCCGGGAGCTGGGTTTTATAGTCTCTGGGTCTTGGCCGTTGATGGGATTACACAGCGCTGGGGGGGGGGGGCAGTTGGTGGGTGTAACCCCCGCCAACTGGAAGATGGAGGATCTGGGTGGAGGATGCTCAGCCCCGATCCAAGCAGGCTTGGAGATATCAGCCCCGGGACCCGCATGCCTTTGTTCTTTTGCCGGTACCTTTATGTGTGTGGAGAGTGGTCTCAGCATGGTTGTGGCTGGTTCTGGAGGTCTTTGGCTGCCGGGGTTCTGGTAGGGGTGGGAAGGGGAACTCAACCTGCCCCCCTCCAAGGGGCCCTGGAGAGAAACACTCTA